TTAGAATAGAGAGTATTTTGACTTACCCCAACGTACATCGGTTGAAAATATTGTTTGACGTAGTTTACGAAATGTTGGATGTCCACTGTTGCTAGTGGCAACTTCGCCGCGACAACGAATTTCACCATTCTCGTTCGAGCTTCCTCCTCTGAATACATCCACGTAGAAAGTGGCATACTAGTAGCACCGGCGCTACTAATACAAAACTATAGTTGCGTTTAACCAGCTGAAAGAAGCCCATGTTTAGCCGCTCGTGTTTTATAGTGACGGTTGAGGTAAGAGGTTCCAATGCCTTTTTGTCATGCCAGTCGTTGTTGACAATATTTACATACAACTTTGATTTCTGGAAGTCCATCGATCACACGACCAGTCTTAACCAATTTGAAATGGTCCCAACATTTTGCACATTTTCCATATATTTTGAGAAGCTTTGTCACTTCTTTACAAGCATCATAGTTGTTGCATCATTGTTGAGTAATCAAATCCAAATTGATCAGTGTTTTTCCAGTATTTACCAAAGCATTGACATCCCTTCATTTCTAAGGAGGTACCTAGTGGCCCTAATATTTTGGGGGTTACGCCAACTTTAAATATGAGGCTCTTATGAATATTAAACCCTTGTTTGATAGATATTAAAATCATATTTTTAGAAGATTTTGATAAAAGTTGATAGAATGTGTGGTTAAAAAGTTATGGATCCTATGAAATGTGTACTTAAAATTAATTATTGACTTTGACTTAGAAAATAATTAAATACATTAAAAAATTAAACATAATAAAAAAAATTGGAAGATAAAATGCAAGATTTAAACTCAAGTACAAACATAAAAAAGCAAAAAAGAATAATAAGTGAATTGAAAAAACTCCTAAACTAGATTGCATAACACATAGAGAAGTATTAGTTTAATTAAAACATAAACCAATACAAATACGTTGAAAAACTGGGAAAAAAGGAGGTAAATAAAACGAAATGCAAGAATCTAGAGAGAAACGAAGACCAATACCTTTAGCAATAAGTGTAAGATCCATTTTGAGAACTTTAGAAAAAGTAATGATCATAAATTCTGAAAAGAAAAAAGTAACATTTTGTTTCTTGTTAAGGAAGAAAAATGAGGTTTGAAAGAATAAATCATTAAATTAATTATATGTAGAGAAAGAAATGACAGTGATATATTTATGTGATGCATAAATATATGTGATAAATTTTATGTTATTTATAATAATTTTTCTAGAGATGTTTGTATTTTCAAAATTTATTAGTATTTTATATTTGTATATGATAATTCTAATTTAAAGAATTTTGTAATTATAATTTTAATTTTTAACCAATCAATTAACTTTACATAATTTGGAGCCCTCATCAAAACGGGGCCTTAGAGCGAGCATAAATTTGGAAAAGATAAATAAATAGGAAAAGATAAATGTAAATAATTAAATTGAATGGATAAAATAAATTAAAATAAACATTATTTTGAGGTGAATACCTTGAGTGAACTACCGTGTCTTATATT